AATAGGAGGGAATACTGTAACGGGGGCCTGTTATAGATTTTTTTTAATTTGTAAACAATCGTTGCATTTTTGTTGTTTTTTAGACATGATTCTCAAACTAGGAAACTCAGTTTTCATAACATTGCATTAATCTCATAATTAATCAATGGGAAAAGTAAGCATGTAATTTGAAAATAAGCATCCGTAAACTCTGGCATGAACGTTTGTGAGTGAATTTGAACCTACAGCTCGGAGGAAAATTTTCCGGTGGCTCTAAACTCGAATATGAAAATTACCCCTCCGTTTAACTCGTAACGGCTTTCCTTGGTTTCATCAAATTAGTATTCAATTTCCCGTTTCTTGTAAAGATTAATAAATAAGAAAAGTAATAATAGTAATGCTTGCAAATTGCAAATATAGAATTTTAGATTAATATTATAGTATGCGATTAAATTGAACTTCCAAAGGCGACTCGACCGCCACTCATTTTTGATCGCCCGTTATAGCATGCAAAGTGCACATTTTTCAATCAACCCACTCCAAACCGAAAGCGTTTTTTGTATAGGACAAATAATAACCTATTTAAATAAAGATCGTAATTGTCGCTGAGATACGATAAAACCTCTTTGTGACGCCAATAACCACTTCATTAGCTTCCCATTTTAATTACCGAGTACAGATACGGATTACTAATACATAAGCGAATGGCGCCTTCTGCGATTTAGAGGAGACGAGAAGAGCTTCACTCTCTTTTTTGTACTTTGGCGTCTGTAAATTCGAATGAAGTTTTCCTATTTATATGACTTCCCAGCCCACGCCGCACGGCGAACATTAATTGAAAAGTGAAATACTATAAGTGACCCGAACTACTGGACTTCCCTAGTCGACTTACCAATTTCTTGTTAAAAATTATCTAGGGATGCGGATACCTTAAAACATCCAGGGTTGAAAAACATCAAAATAATGCTAATGAATGGAACAAATGCAATAAATGATTATTATTGGAGACAACTTATGCAAGAAATGTATTTCCGGCAGTAAATGGTGAAATTAGTATTATTTATTTACCAAAATGGGTAAGGGTGTGTGTGGGTGTCCCAGCATAAGTACCTATCTTAAAATCTGATTTGGTTCCGAACCTCACTAATATTTGATAACTGTATCCATTTTTTATAGTTAGTTATTGAACTAGATTTACGCTTGTCAGGAGGTGTGCAAAAAACTGAATCGCAGACTACTAAAAATAACACGGACATGTTCGTGCTTTTTGTTACTAACCTAAAATCCGAAATGGACATAACAAGGGAAAATCATCAAACATCACCTGAAAAACTCTGATTGCGAGAGCACATTTTCCCGAAACAGTAAGAATCCCAAGTTGTAGCTATTAATTTAACTGGATATAGCGTACAATCCTGACACAAGGAGAGCGTTGTAGTGGTAAGTGTCGTATCCATTATGTATTCCACGTACATCATCTTGACTATACAATAGTTTTCATATTATCATAAACCATTACGAGAGTACGTAATAAATCGCCGATGTGATGCATTAAATGCACTCCTCATTTAGACCACCAGACTATAAATCATCTTTTTAGTGGGCTCATAAAATATTAAAAGGGTAGTTAATCAATACAAAGGATCATTTAAGAGTCAGGCGGATCGCGGATATATTTTTTCTACATTAACATTTGAAGAGGGTGCGTGAGCGTGTAAAAATGAATCGTAATTTTATCATTTTGAAAATGTTGTATTTGCAACGAGAGTAGGGTAATAATTTGCGCTATATTCGTGAGAACAAGTAAGGCTAATGCTATGAGACGCCCGCATCCGTACCGTTTCATTAAAATGCATTGCTTCATTACGTTGTTGATGTTCTTCCAACCTAACTAATATTAATTTAACTTCGGCTATAATATTAAAGAATTTCCCTGCCGAATTTATTTCACCATTTATTCCCTTGTCATGCCTACGTTGCGTCGTTCTTAATTTATTATTTTGGCTTAGTGCCTTTACAGAGAAAGTCGGGAGGAGACAACGTCGACTGGATTAGTGTAATCCTGCTTACATCCATTGTGGCGCACTTGATAATTATAAAGCTCATGCACATTGCGGAAACTTTACGTTTCCTTTGAGTGGATTGTAAATATTTTAGTAACCGGGTTTATCGCTTGCGAAGAACAAAATAAAATTGTTGTCGCATTATGTGTTCCGCGACAAACTGTAGGCGGAAATAAATGTGATCACATTCTAGAGGAGCGGAGAATTGGCTTCTTTCGGCGCAATCAAGACGTAAGGTGTAAAAAGTTTATTGGTTATACTGGCAGGAGACCTGTGGGTTTTTAGTAAGACAAACAACTTCCAATGTTACGTATGAAGGATGGCGGAGAAAGCGCGAACTCAATGGCGCAAGAACTTATAAATCCCCAACGACTCGTTTGTTGGACACCCCGAGCAATTTGTCTAAAAAAACAGCTCTCGGCATCAACCGAAATGATTGCTAACTTCCAAGTTCCAATAAACAAAAACTAATTAAGATCTAAGTTAAAGAGAAAGATTAATCTCTCGAGATTGGATTTATATTATATACTTGCGTAACAAAAGGTTATAAAACTGCACGACTGGAAATGATTTGTGTGCTATCTCTAGTCCTTTACTATTTCAATTCTTATTTCAAGGGTTAGGCCACCATTAATACCTGTTAAGTGCTCCTTTCGTGCCCGACTATACTTTATTTATTGGGAATCGGGTATCAAGATCAATGGATCGTTTTTAAGTAAGTTTATTCAAACAAGTTGTAAATCAGCATATGCATGATGAAAGCGCATTTTTGGTAATGCAGATCAGTATTTCATTAGTAAAGTTTAAAATTAGCGATCTTACGAGTAATCTAACTCAAAATAGACTAGAGACTGCACATCTACACCACATCAGAAAGCTTTTAGTGAAAGTTTGAAGTCTCTAGCTATTGTAATTGCTGAGATCTCAGTCGGACAGCCAGCCGGCCATAACGAATATAATAGCGTATTTTTTCCAAAAATGCGCTAAAAATTGTAGCTTTTTCTTACCTCGTAATCAAGTAGGTAATTTTTAATTTACACATTTTCAGGCACATTTCCCTAAGATTTCCCTATACATTTTTGTGACATCGTGTTACTAGTGTGGAAGCCATCAAAAGTCCTTTCCAAAATGCCAGAATGAATACAAGAATACAAAATTAATTCCTTTCATTACCTTTTAAGTATACAAAAAATGTTGATAAAAATTGAATTGGAATTTTATTCATAAGTATAAGGACAGATTCTGTAGGTAGCTATAACGAATATATTGATTCGGGATCTTCAAACACTCCATATTGTTTCATGTGGGAAAAAGGGGTAGTACAAAGAGGTGCTCAAGAAGTGTTATGATGACAATTGTGGAAGTGCACGTTAAAGAAGGAGTAGGAGAAAAAATTGGTCGGATAGCTGTGGTGAAGAACAAAGAAACAAAAATTGTATTGAGGTAGAAAACAATCGTAGTGCAACACACCACACTTTTCTTATTGTTTTGAAACTGTATAATCACAATCCGATCCAATTTTTTTCGGGGAATCACGTGCGCAGGAAAAAGACATTTTTATATGAATTCGTCATAATATGCAAACAATACGACAATGATCCCAATACGATCTATCTGTTAATACTAAGTCGTTACACCCGAACACGGCAGTTGAACTCATTAAAACAAACATTTCTTAGTTCCAATTTTTGATTCGGTGCCCCGGTGCGAAGTTATTGGCGTTCTTTTGTTATTCGAAAAATTGTCACAACTCCCCGAGCAACTCCCTTATTTTAAGGACTATTGAAAAAAAACGAAAACTGTTCAAACTGTCTTTCAGCTCACTAAAACATTTGTATTTGCAATTATTTTTTATTGTTTCAAATAACAAAATAGTGATTGATTAAACATTTCAAAATAAACATTTATAAAATCCCTACACCATCTACTACAACATTTGTCCTAAACATTTTTTCAATTTCGATTTCCAAAATGGCCCTCCTCCGCAGGATAGATTGAACAAAAAATATTTAGGACAAATGTTCGTAATCGTATAGGGATTTTATAAATGTTTTTCTTTCAAAAATGGATGGGGTGGTTATCAACAAATGTTTTTTTGAAATTTTTCACCGATCGCCATTTAATTATTTGAAAAAATAAAGAATAATTATAAAGGTTGTGAAATTAAAAGATTTTATTGGAAAAGTGGAATTTAAGAAGGTAACGGAAAGAGAAAAGGCTTGTTTTATAGTTACAAAAACTGTTGAAAGTGTCTTCGAGATCTAAACGCATATCATTACGTCGTTTCATGTCTTTAGAGATTTTTTTCAAAGTTTGCTGCATAATTTTTGCACATTTGCGTTGGATTAGGTACGTTTTCTAGTTGATCTAAAGTGGAGGGAATATTAGATTAGATTGGGGTTGTCTGACATTTCACCAAGCAATTGTGAAAAGTTTTGCAATACAAGAACAGAAATCTATACAGCACTAACGGTGCACAACGAACAAAATCAGTTTGAATACAATATTTGAAACGCAAAATAGATCTCTGGTGAAGAGCTTACCTAAAAATGTACAAATGTGTATACGACATCTGCTTTTAAACTAGTTCACAACGCTCCTGAGGTTGGAGAATAAATTTCGTATCATAGAAACAATCAAAACTAGCAATGGGTTAATAAAATTCAATCCCGCCGGGATAGATAACTGGTCCCCTACTACTGAAATCGCAACGTAAAGTTCGGGAAACAAACAGGTGGGCAAATTGTACATTTACCATGAACTACATTTTCGCTACAAGAATTGATCATATTGTACTATAGAGCATATCTACTTGCACAATTCACAACTGAGTAAGATATACATCAATAAATTACAATTGTACCTTCTGCTGTAGCAATAAATCCCGCGATCCTTGGCATTTGGAAATTGCATTTAATTTAATGTACTTACAGAGCGTATAAACCGGCAAAGAAAAAAAACACGAAAAAATTAATCTTCCAATACGTGCCGTTACATAAATAGGTCGGTAATGTAAATAATACCACCGCAGGAACCGTTTTTGTATGCCCTCCGAATGGGGTTCGTAGCAAAATCCATTATTGCTTCGCGGCGTATTGCACATTTGCTTTCATTAGCGCTTACCGCCATTATAAATTCAGGAGGATATAGACAACAAATTCCATGCGAACGGCGTGAGCTTTCGGGGATAATTCCTTCTTTCTCTGCCTCTAATTTGGTCTGTGTCCAAAATGTGGTTTCTTGCGCACGTACTTCGATAGTCGAGCACAGATCTATGTGATTATATAGTTTCAGTTTGCAATTTCCTTCGACATATACGGTATATACATACAAGAACCGCATTACCAAAGGGAAACGTAAGTTGCATACATTACCAATTTTCCGCAGAACATTGCTGGCTGGAAATCGATTTGCAACTCACTTTTTTATATGACAATCAACTTTATTTGTCTCTGTACTAAATTTTTATTTTGAAAACGGCCTTCTTCACCAAAATTTTTTCATTCACAGTATTCATTAAAGCCTGTGTGTTAAGCTTAACCACTTTTTGCTCAAACGACGTTCTTTTGCCAAAATGAGCAACAGGTACCGAATATTTGACATTATCTTGTATATTTCTTAGAGCTTTGAGTAGTGTCGGATGATAAACTCGCAATGTACTTCTTCATTAGAAATTTAAACTACGTAGGTAGTTAATAAAAAAGGAGTAACGAAATGTATAGTTTCCGAAAATTTTCACGTAGAACGTGAAAGTATAAACTTCCCCAACTGAAAGACGAGCCACTGCCACTAATGGCGATAAATTTGTTCACGGTCTCATAAATAATCTCATCGACTGCCCGCTATTATCTTTATTGAACTTCTGTGCCCCAATTCATGGTGGTCAATTTCCTATGGCATTTGTCAGTTCTACTCTTAACACAAATACGATTCGACCTTTTGTCAGCATTTTAGATGTTTATGTTTTTTTCTCATAATATACCCGTTAATAGAAAAAAATGCTAGAAATTATTCATGCAGCTTCTCTGCAGTAAGTTCAACAAATGTATTTATATTTATTTAAACAAAATAATCCGCAATAACAGGTAAAAATAATGAATTGAGGAATATCCGATTTAGATTCAGGATATTTATTTATACCACACTTACATATACCTACTAAAAAACTGCCTGATGTAGGTTGTGCCGTTGTGGTCCAGCTTTTATATTGTGACCTTATTCTAGAAAGTGTTATTTTTTACTAGAGTGAAACAGATCGAGTTTCGCTTAAGAGCCATTTATACCCGTTGATAGACTTCATTCCCGTTTTTCTCCCGACTGAATAAAGTTATTGATTTGAAATAAGAGCTTTTGTGCGATGATTTTGCGTGAGCATTTAATTTTTTTGTGGTTTTTATATTTTAATTTCTTCTAAAAATAGATTTAATAAATGTTCCCGCAAACATGGTATTTAAAAAAGAGATTGATGTAAGTTAAATTAATTTTTTCATCAAAGTAATCCTCAAAATACGAATGAATCTCAAATTTTAATAAACCCACGTACTTTTGTGATTTTAAAGCCTGTAAGAATATTTAGGAATGTTCATAAGTCGTTTATCAACATGTAACACACAATGTGCGGACCTTTTCTTACCACTGAAAAAGTCATAAGAACCCACTAATCATTACTCATACACCAAATCTTACAGAACAATTGATTATTTATTTTGATCGGTAGGTACATTTTATATAAAACACACTTCTATACATTCCGTTGCGTGTAAATTCAAATACGAATTTTTCCGGTCTTTCCGGCAGCCAGTCGTTGTGTTGGCCACTTGTTTGTCAGTTAAATTAAGTAGAAGTTATACAGGAATTGTTTTCCGATTGCTATCCAATGTTAGTGTTCGCACAATTAGTTTGAAGTTATATAGAAGAGGAGGTGTCAATTATATAGTTGTGTCTTCGTTAAAATTAAAGTTTGTATCCGAGCTGCCATTTCAACAACGTCAATCGTCATGGAACCAATGCTGGTGAATTAAAAAAAAGAAGAAAGTTTGTATACACGGTTGTGCCTTTATGTTAAAATAATTTTGTCGTTTTCGTCGTCTGTCCAGGCGGGTTCAGACAAAAATTTGGACTATGACAACAAAGTAATAAGTACTTTTGAGACGCTCTGACGGGGGTTCTAAGGGCAAATTGACGTGGTGCCACGTCGCGTCGGAACTTTAAGAGGAAGAGTCTCAATTTAGGGCATTAACACCTAGACTACTAGGAAATAACAGGTAGATAATTATAGAAGTGAACGCATCCCCAATATTAGTTTAATTCTCATAAACACCAGGTAGACTTTTACATGAACGAATTACGATGAAATTTTGCAGGTGGATTCTTTATAAAATTTGTAGATCAGAGTGCGTGAATTGACAATGTAGATCAAAAAATAAGGAAGGCCTTTTTGACATCTCCGTTAGGTATGAACCGAATTGCATAAAATTCAAAATGAGCATAGTTTTAGCCATATACTACGCAGCGACGGCGCCAGGGGGGGGGGGCTGGGGGGGCACGTGCCCAATCTGTTAAGCAGTGCCCACCCAAGTGCCCAACTGTCCCTGCCTCAAATTTTTACTTTTTTTAAAATTTGTTTTAGAGAATAATCGAATAAGTTCTCATTCTCACTGATCATTTTCCGTAAGTTAGTCTGAGATAAATAACAAATTCGTTATCTCCGGTTTAGTTTGTCGTAATTACTTCGTGGTACTTACATAGAAGTGCTTTATTTAAATTTCCGCGGTGGATGGCAACGGCTGGATTATTTCGGAAATGAAGTTTACCTTAATTCCATCTTTGCCTATAATACACAAACCGTACAATAAGATCATGACTTCATAAGCCAAACAGAATTCTACCCACTTAAGACTTTGTGCAGCACCGACGAGGTGCAGTAATTTCCTGAAGTCGAAAAGGATTATTTATTGTAGGAAATCATTGTACCTTGAGTAGCGGAATTGCGGAAGGGTCGATCCTGAACAAACTTGATGCGTTATCGAAATGTTCCTTCTATAAGTTAAAGCAAAATTAGATAATTTAAGTATTTAATAGGGCGCTGCTCCGTTTTTAACGAGATTAACCAATTCAATGTTAAACTAGATGAGCTTCGGAGCATTTAATAACGTGAACTGGACAATTTCATTATCTAATGAATTTTATACCGCCAACGTTGCGTAGCTTTTAATCTTCTTTAGTTACGCATAAATGAAAGCCCGCAATGTGTAATTTAATTTTTATTTCGTACGTAAAGCTGTTATTAAATTTCAAATATCAGTTGTACTACCTACCATTTGCGTAAACTTTTGGGGTTCCCTTATAGAACAACGCGTTTTATATTCATGGACTACGGTTAGTTCAGTTTTCTTTACTAAATCGAAAATGTATCCTGTAAATATTAACATGGCCCGAAAAAAGGCATTTCACGCACATTTACATAACCCGTTATGACATTTTTGCGAAACGCTCGTCGTTTTAATTACCTTGATGTTTTACTTGATTAATAAATCCGAATGATTTGCAAAATTATTAAAACACCACTCTCTCTTTTCAGATCTCTGGCGTTTATTTCGAAACACGGAACAAAAGGTATGTTACGACTTTCATTGTCTTCATTTTCTTTTGACGGAAAGCTAGGGGCGTATACGTTAATGGAAGTTAAATGAGAATAAAGATTTAATTTCGAGGCAAATATTTTCAGAAATACAGGTAAGAAAAGTGGAAAGGGTGTATATATTCAAATTGTAAAAGTTGGAAACTGTTAAGTCCTTAAATTACAAAGTTGATTAATATTAAAATTTGCTTTTGAAAATCCCTTTTGCTGAAGCATAATTTGTAATTATACGAAAGTTACGAGTTTGTTTGAGAGGCTCAGTAAATATGGATTTATATCTATTAACATCCACTTTGACAAAATACTAAGTGGAATAAATTTTGTTTTCAGTTGGTATAATACCAACAATTACTGTTATGTTTTAACGTATATTATTTAACCTTAAAGTTCACAGTGGTACTCAAAATTCATGGTTGTTTCATTCTCTCACCTGTAAGACGTAAGTTTTTTTTTAAATAATTTTTATCGAGTGTGACCGTCGATTTCTTGCTTAATCCCTAAACCCCAGACGGAATAACGTCATTCACACTGAAAAAAATGACTTCCTTGTGGTAACAAATTTAGAATTGCTACATGCATATTGTTGCAGCAGCAAAAAGAAATGGTTTTTAGAACTAAATAATTTACTGCTTTAGTTTTCTCAAGTAGTTGCGATTTTCTGGGGTTAATAATGAAACTTTGTTGGAGGATAGCAAACATTTTTTGTTAAGAGCGCCAACGAGCATTTTGCATTGATTCCATGAACATAAAAGTATGCCTTCATAACAAAAAGCAGTTTGCTGATAAACCTAATACCACTGTATTTGTGACAACATACTAAATTCCTTAACTTGAAGGACGAAAATAATATAAAATTTTATTTATAATAGTGCAATCATGCAATTCCCAAGTAGTTGACAGAATGTGCTTATCTCACCTTGCCTTGCATGTCCCAGAGTGCCAGCCAGATGTGAGAGGACATCATTACAAAGTACTCTGTGACCCTGTCCAGTGTCATAATTACTAGCTCATTTTTTCACGGTAAGTCGTCAATCTTGTACCTACTGAATTTCGGTTATTTACATTACGAACTTTTAGTATTTTAATGTTTTTTCAATGGCTGAACAAAGTGTAGGGGATTGGAACAATGGGGATTCCCGGAACTACTTTTGGTGTTTGAAGGTAAGTGTAACTTTAATCCATAAATTGTTTTGAACTATCTTTTGTTTTCCGGCATTTTCATTTTTAGATTTTTCGAACGACAACTCGAAAAGTACCGGTCTGATCAGAAACTCGTCGAGGAACTTTTTATTCAGTTTTCTTTGTATAACACCATCCCATAGTCCGTGTGCGCGAATTTCGAAACACGCTGTATATGTAAAAGCTGTTTACATGTAGTGTAGGTAAGTTTTAATCTCGGTTTTAATTTAAGTGTTTTAGATTTTGTCTTTGGAGATGTTAATGATAAAAAAGTTTTTCTTTTGTAGTTAGGTAAACAGTAAGTGATTTAATAAATGTGTATTTTAAAAAAAAAGTGATTTGTTTTAATTGACATCACCAAAACGCGTGGACGATGCAGAGAGAGCGGAAAATTTATTGTTCCAACCAGGATTCATAGTTAATCCAACTAATCATTTGAGACAATTTATCAGTTTCCAGCATAAATGGTATATGCTACTACAACAAAGATAAAAAAGGACAAATTAGGAGGTCCAGCAAATACTCGTTAGTTTATATAACAATACCGCTATGCTGCTGCGACTAAGCATTACTTGTTACAGGGACAAATTTTTTTGCAAGCTTATTTAGTTCCTCAAACAAAAATGGTATGCTTTCTTAACTAACTTGTATAATTTGTTACAAGTAATTGTTTTAGCTACTGGAACAAATTTACTTCCAACAAGTTATGTTGGTTTCCTACAGCAAATAATTTTGTTGAGGCTATAGCTACTAAAAAACTTAGTTGGAGTAACTAATTGTTAGTTGCGACAACATTTCTTTTTTTTCAGTGCATCCGTAACACCGTTCACGCAATTTATTACCCGAAAGGCGACTATTGGTAATATGATATTATTTTTGGGTTATTTGTAAACATTTGAAAATATGTTTCGTTCTACGAATGGAACTATAAAGTCACGTCCGCTACTTTGTTTTAATTAAAGGAAGGGATGAAGGAACAGGCAGTTGGTTTTTATACAAATGGGCAGTAGCTGCGTATTTATTGAAATTGTATTAGTAGTGAGTGAACAGTGCGTGATTAAGTGTCTGTTCTTTTGGAAAATCGGTGAGTGAAACTCACAGAGCAATTCAGTTTTACAAAGCATGTTTAGTTAGCGTTCATTATGAAATTGATATACAAATATGGTACCGCAGTTTATGCATAAACCAGGTAGAATTATTGGTTGGCGTAATCTATTCCACGCTGCTTGTTGTTGATTACTGTGAGGCGCGTTGAATCCCCTCGGCAGTGTTTTGGTGATGGAACTGTGCACGGTTCCAGGCTAGTACTTAGGGTAGGTATTAGGATATCGTGAATGGCGATTGCGTTGAGTCAGAATCCCCTAGGACTTGTTAACACTTAAAACGTAGTGATGATGGGTTTTAGGTTGCGTCATGCACGGTCGAGTTTAATCCCCTAATATATTGCACACTCTATGCTAGTTGTTGTGGCACTTTTGGTTGGTGGAGGGTTGCGTCTTTGAACCCAGGACCTACCACACACGTTGAGCAGGGTGATGGTCTGACCTGGACTTTGACGTTGCGTTTAATCCCCCAACACCATTGCACAGCCAAAAGGGAATGGATAACTCTAATTTAATAACGAGAATGAGTAACTATAATATAACGAGAATTAAATAGAACTCTCATAGAATATCGAAAATAAGTCCAATCTAATGACGAAAGATTAGAACTCTCCTATGATTATTGAGATTATATTATGGAAGTTTTCCATAGAGAGTATAGTAATTGACAGTCAATATTATTTGTAGTCATCCATGTTGGGTTAACTGGTTGCTCAGAGAACTATTTTCTAATTGCAGGTACGATCTTCCGCTGCCAACTTTCAGGTCAAGTTTAGTTTGATTTTGATTCCTTGTTGTAAGTACTTACTTTATCATTGTTTTGTAACTAGTTATTTAATTACAATTAATCATCCTGACAAATTATGTCTATTCTTCAGCGATTTAATTATTTAAAAATGATTGTGGTCAAAAACACGCCTTTCCCCCCTGTCAATCCATAATTGGCCCACACACCTTCTTTTCTTTCATTTGTATTTTGCTTTTTTAAATAAAAATTCTTCCTTATTTATTCTTCACTATACTAGGAACGCTATTGTCCGCACTTTGTCCATCGTCTGTACCACGCCTATTCCTCCAGTTTAAGCTTTTTTGTTGTGGTTTCTTTCTTATGCGGTGTAGCACAGCCCCGAAATCACAACGACAAAAGAATTACTGATTCTGTGCGGGAAAAATGCGCTTTCGTCGGTCGCGAGTGACAACATTTTTAACTTGTTTTCTTATGTTTCATCTCGTATCTATAACAACGTACTTAAGAGTCTTCGAAATTCTGCTTTCGTAAATTTATTGCATTCATTATCGCCTTGCACCTTCGTAGACATATTCGATCTTGATCTTGATCATTCGTCTTAGTCCAGAACCGAATTGGATAGTGGTGATACTTGAGAAATTCCAGCGAGGTTCTTCTCTTCGGGAGCCACCCCAAATGGTCCTATTGCATTTAATTGTAGTAGTTTAACCAAATCAAATTAAAAAGTATACAGTCGAAGAAAAACATCATTTTTAGTTACCTACCAGTCTGTGGCCATGTAGAAGGCTGTTTGGCGGTACATGGGGCTTGTCACGCGCAGGGAAATCTACAAGGAAGCAGATTAGGCGGACTAAGAGATCCTTGTTCTGGCCTTGATAAGCTAAAGAAATAAAATAATTGATAAAGGATAGAACAAAAACAATCATTGACCTCACAATCGAGGGTGATTTAATAAATGATCTCAAAAATATTACAAATAGGATACTATATAACTCTGCAATGTCAATATTTAAATTTGAATTAATTTTTTGTAAAAAAGAGGATCAATAGTACGTAATCCGAGAAAGTATTAATTTCAAAACATGCTTTCCCAGAAAACAACGGAGCTATTATCGTTAAGTGAATATGAAGCAAATATAATTAATAACTGCAATGCGATTGTATCGAAAACCAATATGTAATCAAACGTTATATCAAGGAGTCGGTGAGAAATAAAAATTACATGTTGAACTACAGGTTGCACGTAACGGCCTAGTTCAGCTCAAGAACTGCACCCTCTATGCGGTAGTGCATGTGTTGCACAAATTCGCAGCAAATCTTAAGGTTGAGGAGGTTGCTGGAGAATCGAGTGTTGATTTTATATCTGTGATGTAAAGTTTTCAAATAGACACCCTGTATCTACTTTTACTTTATGTGTCACTTCTAATTTGCGCCTTTTCACTTTTTAAATCAATAGCACTTTTGCAATAGACGTAACTCAATGACCGCTAATTGCGATGCACGTGTGTAAGATAAATTACATTGCCTCACTACTCATATAATTTGGCGTGACCCTCCCGTAAACAATAAAAATTAGAATATAAATGAGGGGGCCATTAAATAAATATGAAGGAAAATTATTGTTCCGGTTTTCCACGCGATAAATAGTCGCGGGTGGCAAATAAGAAAAGTAAGAGGGGTTACTGCCTATTAGCGCTATTATCCCCATAATCCCTTGCACGCGAGCCGCAGTTACAATGGCATTGTAAACATCAAAAGTTGAAACGGGGGTTGTAAGGACGCCAACGGTGTATGGAGCGTACTGCTTACTGTGCGCTTACTACCCACACGGCACTTCTCTCAGTACACAACATTAATCCACGTTCTGAAACCGCATGGGATCCGAAACATACGGTTACGACCTGCATATAACCTCTAAATAAAATACTAACTTTCCGAAATCATGTGGGAACTAAAGACCTTGGAAGAGTCGTTCCATGTTTTCCGCGATAGCCGATCAAAATCCCTTCA